GTCCTTCTTGGGGGAAGGAATATTAGGGAATAGAAGCCTGGTGTCATGGCCAGGGAGTGTATGATCTCTATGACCTCTTTGGCTATCAGTGTGTTGATGTTTGTTTATAGCAGCTGATGTTGTGTAGTGGGTTAGGTGTCTGCCAGAGGTAACGACATCAGCGGAGGGTCGTTTATCAATGTGAGCTGATACCCCTGGCCCAGGATGTTGGTGATGTATGGGTCCCCCAGCATGTCCCAATTTTGCCCACATCATCCAAGTCTGAAGAAAACTGTGTCCAGTTGATAATTCCTTGACCAGGAAGACTTGGAGAACGAATGATGTGACATGTGTTCTAGGGCTGTGAGACCCGTCTCATCCCTGGTGTAGCTGTTAATGCGGGCGTGAGTGGAGGAGAACTGACCATTGAAGAGGGAGGAGGATGACCATGGTTGTTGGAGTAAGTCTCGCTTAAACTCAGAATCCCACTCTGTGAATGGGCGCTGGTTAGTAGTGAGTTCCGCCAGAGCAATATCCATAGTGCTTATGTGATAAATCTGTCACAGTTGATAGGTCATAATGGTGGACAGATTATCAACAAGGTTGTATCCTGGATGATGGCTCTCGAGGTAGAAGCTATGGCTGAAAGAAGCTTAAGGAATCGATGAATCTCCATCCTAAGAACGCCAACCTAGTGTCAGGGATGCGGATTGTAGTAGACCTGGAAGACCCCGTCATGCGGTGGAGGTCACCATCCAGGGTGTGCGTGCTGTCCGCTACCTCCAAAGCATGTCTGGGGAAATCCTCCTTCTTGTTGTGTGTAGCCTTAAAGGATGGAGTAAGGCCAATTTTGCAAAGTCCTTATCCAGAGCCGCAGTCGTGTCTTTAAGAATCGGGTCTCGAGGAATTGAGGTGGGGTTGGACCAGATGGTATCTCGTTTATCAACATCAGGTCCCGGAGATGGAACAACCGGAGAGAGATGGTCTTCCAACCAATCCGCAACTTGATTGAGGCTGAGGTGAGTGTCCTTTTCCAGGAAAGAACCCCCATATGGTAGAATAAAGGAGCCCTCCAGAGAGTCTAAGTGGTATTCCCTGTGGTGATGGATTGGAGAAGGGCTCCGGGAATGATGTTAGATCAAGAGGACTTGCTCCCACTACATTGAGAAGAGGCGCCAGGTGAAGTCAAACCATGCGAGGATGTAGACCTGACCTTAGAGGTGATATCATGGTCGCAGGCGTTGCTGGAGGTATCACACAGGCTGGGGATGAGGAAGGTGCCATAAACATTGTGTGCATCATGTGGGGGCCAAAAGGGCGTCTTAGACAGCTGTTGAGGTCCTGTAGCTAGTCAGAGGTGCTGATGCCGGTGCTGAAGACAGGGGGTATGCTTGTGGAAGAGCTGAGATTAAGGTTGCCTGCGCCGTAGGTGGTTGTGGACATGGACCAGCACACTTTTCAGTGTAGTCGACAGTATCTGTGGTGTAGAGACCAACACCTGGGTAGGTGAGATGGCTTATTCAGCTGATGGATGCTCAGCAGAGGATGAACGTAACAGTGTAGACGTATTGGGGCTTCAGCTCGAAGTAGATGGAGTAGCCATAGCTGGAGGAGAGGCAGCAGGCCCAGACGAGTCTGACATCCTTTTAGCAAATTTGTGGGCTTGTTGTGAACGACGTTTATGAGACACTCTCAAGTACAAGGTGAAGGCTGAAGGAGAGAGCGGGAGACGCGCGACGCTTAGCAGCTTTCAAACAAATACTATTACAGTTGAGACACGGGGTGAGGGTCCCAACCAGACTTGTTACCGTGGCACTTTGTACAATGGGGCTTATAGCTGCAATGAAACAGAGGTGTAATCACAATGTGTTCCCACCCCGATTGTGTATGCTATAATCTCAATCCCAACCACGTGGGTTACAAGGATCAGTTTACGCAAGGAACGTGAAAAAAACACTTAAATAACTATAGGTACAACAATATTAATGAAGTACCAAGCAACACAAAGAATACAGAATGCATGGCACGAAAAAACGTAACCACGAAATGAATTCAAAATGGCTAATTGGAATAACAATTCGCCTGTTATTTACAGTGACAAAAAGCCACCATCAAGCGTTAAAAATTAATGCAGTGCTAAAAATCATATGTAAGATATGAAGACACAAACCATAGGAAAGGTATTAATCACATAAAACAACAGTGTTGAATAGCACCAAAAGGATTGCAATGAATAAAACTGAGAGCTTAAAACAGTAGATGGATCTCTCCAAGTGACAGCAGTAATGTGCTGTGCCATGACATCATCACTTCCTTGGTCACATGGGAACTGTATGATGGAATTAGCCACACAACTAGTTGGATTAACTACTTCAGCAAGTCCTCACAAAGCTCCTTAAATGCTTTAGGGAGCAATGCATCATAAGTTAAAAAATATTATGGATAAATAAATACAATTATTTTGGAATTAAATTTACAAAATAGGCTTCTGCTATATGGGATGAAAACACTGGTTGACAATACATATAATATGAAACTTCTTTCCATAATCAGTATAAATCAATGCTGAAAGAAGTGTCCATTGTTTGATTCTGACTGTGTCATATGAATATGTTAATATAGTCAAACAGTGATGATACCAGGTGTTCATGAAAAGGTGACCATATCCTGCTCACAAACACATCCCAAATCAAGTTTTCATCTGAACAAACACAGGAACATTTGGTTCAAGTGAAATAAAAAGGAATTTGCATCCGACATCCTTTTGGTACTGACACATCAAATTTAGAAATGTCATCCACATGTCCACCAGAAACGTTTTGAAATATTGAATGATCTTGAATGGTACAATCCTGATCAAAGACAACTGTGTCAAAGAGCATGCTCAGTTGTACCTCATGAGTTGTGAAATGTGGACACCAAAGGCTGGAGTTGCTGGAATATTGCTTGACATAGGGAAAAAAATCTTGTGGAAAGTTTGTTTTTACTCTGAATCTTTATTCACAGATCCAAATATGAAACAGATGAGGCAGTTTCACTGGTTGCTTTCATTTCTAGTTAGGCAGGTAAACCAAGTGAAGGGAATTGGCTGTTCGACCATTATTAAACGATATCAGATCATTGATATATGTGAAATATTGCATTGCCTGTGCCATGGAATGTGATGGAATTGGATGGGAAAGAAGAAGACATTAACCATTAGATATTTGATCTTGATGACCAAGAACACCAACTAACTCAAGTAAGACAGACACCTTTAATACCACTTCGGGTGTGCGGCAGGGCAGAGTCCTGAGTCCACCAGTTTCATTTTCGTTATTAATGAACTTGTTGATGCTATTTATGAGAAATGCTGTAATGGGATATTTATATCTCAAGAAATTACGGATCTACTTTTACTCTTTTTTTTGCTGAAGAATGGTCAACAAAAGCATCTGAACGCTCTACAGCACTTTTGTGACACCTGGGGTCTAGAGCTTTACGTAGACAAGTCAACCATTGTTGCATTTAGAAATGATGGTATAGTTGAGCAAAAGGAAAAGTGGTCGTTCTGTAATGTAAATATGAGTTGTTTCCTATTATGAATATTGGTCAATGGCCTGCAAACGCTTGCAGCTCAGGCCAAGAAGGCTCTACTCCCAATCTATTAACTATATAAAGAAAACAAAATATGTTGCATTTTCAATAAAAATATATCACCAATTCTTGTGTATGGTGCACCAGGTATTTTGAAGAAATGAAAAGTTTCGTGCATATTTTAAAAGATTTTATACAGCTGGAAACTTTTCTTAGAGTAAGACTAGGGGAGCCTTGGTGCAATACTATATTTATCCTAACCCAGATGAAAGTAATTAAATATTGGTTTAATCTTATATGTATGCGATGTTATAGTTACCCTTTCCAGAGTTACCAGTTGCTGTTGTCTTTAGATGATAATGGCAAACACACATGAGCATCTGATGTCAGAACATTATTCTTTTCCTGTGTTTCCCCTATATTTGGATTGCCCAAGATGTTGGGGATAAGTTATAATTTATTTTCAACTTCAAACAAAAACTCGTTGAAATTTTCATTCAAGGTTGATCAGAAAGTATTGGATCTCCTCATTTTCTTTCACATTATACTTCATTAAAGCTGTTTTTGATCCTGAGAAATGTTTGACATTAAATGATACAACCCCTCTAAAAGCGATTTGGTCGTTTAGAATCTCTCTACTATGTTTAAAAATACAAGATATTTGAAAACAAAGACAGACTATTGAAATTTTATTTGTACTTAATGTAAATCTATGTCTATTGAAGACCAGTGTCCTTACTTTCCCAGGAAAGAAATATATTTTTGCCACATTAAGAAAAAACATACGTAAGTCATCCAAGTAATTAACAATTTACTTAACCCAATGATGTAAATACTATCCAGTCAGCAGCTATCTTTATGAAACACATTTACTATAAGATTTCTAAGAGTTGTGAATTTATCAAATGTTTATCAAACTACATTTTGTATTTAAGTTAATTGTACTCTGTGCCACAAGGCCGAAATACAGGCCATCTGTGTGTTTTTAGTATTCTCAAAACTGTTTGAAAGTATGTGATATTTTAGTTGTTTTACGGTCCTTTGTTGGCAGGATTATATTTTGATATAAGTTTCCGAATGTTCTTGTGACAATATGACTGAAATATAAACAAAACACAGCGCTGAATACTTTCCTCAATATGATGATATGAACAAGACATATTGGAGAAAGCGTTCAGCGTTGTATTTTGTTTCAAATTGCAACGTAAAGATGTCGATGTCATTTAGGGACACACATACATGGGCCTTGTTCTGAGCATGTGTTCCCACATTTTGTGATATCTCGACATCTGAGCAATTTTTGTACTAAACATCTTAAACCTGTGTTACTTTGGGCAATAACTATCATAATAATTTCATGTGTTGTGAATTCACTGAAATATTGTTCAAGGCTTAAATACTCCAAACTTGTTCACTTGATCATGTTGATGTTATTTTTGTTTAAGGTTTTCTGAAAGACCCTCTGGCACTTGATGATGAGAAGATATCTGAAAAGGTAATTTCCATAGCTTCATGACAAGGATTTGAAGTTTCACATCCAATGTAAAAACGTGTTAACTACATTTATGACTATGAATACACAATGCCATTTAGAAAGTGGTCAAATGTAACATATGTTATATTTGGGATAACACTTTCTTAGTAAAGTACAGATTCTCGTACTTTTTTGGGTTGAGTCCCGTCTGGGATTCGAACCCACACTTGTGATCTAGACTACCAGTTGTCGGACTTTCATTTTTGTGGAAGCCTCGGTGGCTGAGTGGGTTAGATCGCTGACTTTGTGTGCTGGCGATTAGGTGCCTCACTCTGGCAAGTGTGGGTTCAAATCCCGGACGGGACTCAGCCCCAAAAAGTACGAGAATCTGTACTTTACTAAGAAAGTGTCATCCCAAATATAACATGTTACATTTGACCACTTTCTAAATGGCTTTGTGTATTCATAGCTTTCGGCCATGGGAGCCGTGCCAATTTACACTTGTCAGAGGGGTACTCAAAGTACGTGATTTAGACTACCAGTTGTCGGACTTTCATTTTTGTGGAAGCCTCGGTGGCTGAGTGGGTTATATCGCTGACTTTGTGTGCTGGCGATTAGGTGCCTCACTCTGGCAAGTGTGGGTTCGAATCCCGGACGGGACTCAACCCAAAAAAGTACGAGAATCTGTACTTTACTAAGAAAGTGTTATCCCAAATATAACATATGTTACATTTATGACATATATAAAAATGCATATAATCGCAGAGTACAATACAGATATGAAAGTACTTCTGTACGTTAATTGCCACTCAATATTGTTATCATATAAATGTAAAAGCATAACCTGGGCCCAAAATATATCATAGCTTGTATCATATTGGTCATCCTCTTCTGCAAATAAATTCAGAAACCAATGGGTGGATAAACGGAAACCTATCATTGATGTTAATGTAATATCCCCTTCCCCTGGATATTCCAAATGTTTTGGAGAAGCCACAAGACTTAACAGATAAAACAATGGTGAAGGAAATCTTTTCCAAGTTTCTCTGCTACACCATGACATACATTCATCTTAGGTCATTTAGAGGCAGATACATAGGGAATGTTTTTGTTTCTTATCACAAGATGTCACACATTGATAAAATGTAAAGAACATGATAAAAGGTAGGTTGAATATTCTCTGAAACCACAACCCAAAACATTATTGAAATGTAAGCTAAGTTGCTAAAGTTGCACGTAGCTTCAGAGACCTGCTTTCTTATTACAAAATACATAAGCAATTATGATGTCATATACAGTAAAGATTATCCTTAGATCCTTGCCTAAGTGTGATTTATAATTTCATGTTAAAAACATAAGCAAATATGATGTCATATACAGTGAAGATTATCCTTAGATCCTTGCCTTAATGTGACTTATAATTTCATGTTAAAAACATAAATAAGCAAATATGATGTCATATACAGTAAAGATTATCCTTAGATCCTTGCCTTAATGTGATTTATAATTTCATGTTAAAAACATAAGCAAATATGAGTGAGTGAGTTTGGTTTAACGCTGCTTTCAACAGTATTCCAGTTATATCGCAGCATGTCAGCTTAATGTGGGAGGAAAGCTTGAAGTGATGCAGGTCTCAGACGTTTACCACTTCGGTGAAACCCACGAGCAGTGGGTATTGTGCTGACAAACCAAAAAACATAATCAGGGGGAAGCAGGATTCGAACCCACAATCATAGGTTTCTGGCGTGCCCAAGGGACGCAACCCTGCAGAGCGAATCGCGGCGCCTTGGACGACTTGGCCAGCCGTGCCCCCTAAGCAAATATGATGTCATGTGTTCAGTAAAGATCATCCTTAGATCCTTGCCTAAATGTGACTTATAATTTCATGTTAAAAACATAAGCAAATATGATGTCATATACAGTAAAGATTATCCTTAGATCCTTGCCTAAATGTTATTTATAATTTTATGTTAGAAAAATTAGCAAATATGATGTCATATACAGTAAAATATTTCCTTAGATCCTTGCCTAAATGTGACTTATAATTTTATGTTAGAAAAATAAGCAAATATGATGTCATATACAGTAAAGATTATCCTTAGATCCTTGCCTAAATGTGACTTATAAATTCATGTTAAAAACATAAGCAACTTTGATGTCATATGCAGTCAAGATTATCCTTAGATCCTTGCCTAAATGTGATTTATAATTTTATGTTAGAAAAATAAGCAAATATGAAATCATATACAGTAAAAAAGTTCCTTAGATCCTTGCCTAAATGTGACTTAAAATTTCATGTTTTAGCTGCATGAGAAGTGGCATATGAAACCACTAAAAATATATCCGGTGGTGCGGACTCCACGATGGACAGATTTGGATGATAGACAAGTTGAAGTTTTGGAAGGAACAAGACTTCCTGATCCAACACTTGAAGCTATGATTCTCAAAGAGAAAATGCTGAAAAGGTGAGAGGCCATATCTAACGTACCATCACTGACAGTCTACATATTTGTTTTATTAGGGTTCAAGCTAAAGATAAAGACATGGTATGATATAAAAATAGGTTCCCATTCCTCGTTCAGTATTCATAAACAGAAATATAATAATATTCAAATCCTGTAATTATTGTTTTTTAGGTTTTAAGTTTTATGAAGCAAAGTGTAAACACAATGAACAATGAAACAATGGGTATATGTAATAAATCTGAAGTACAGACACAATTCTGTCGCACATTAGACCAGGTGTAGAAAAGGTCCCCAGCACCTTATTGCTGGTTGTAAGAGGCAGCTGAAATGGGTAACCTATTTGCTGTGTGTTGCGCCTCTGTGTCGGTGGAGGACAGGAGCCAGGAATATAATTGGCCTGATTCTATCAGTGGGCTGGTCATGGCAAGCGCTGTGTGTTGGAAATTTTCATTTTAGAAACATCATATCAAATCATGTTTGATCATGAAGTATAGTAACCTTAATTAGGAAATTAGCTCTGCTTTGAACCCTACACTACATTTCAAAAGTCACTTCCCTTGTATCGCGAAACTATTTCGCAATACGTTCGTGATAGTGCTGTGAAAGTGGCGCGATAATAGCGCGATAGGGCCGTGAAAGTGGGTAATAGTGCCACAAAAGTGGCGCCATATTGGTACACTACATGTACACTTCATAATTGCTGTCGTGTGTTGTTTCCCCATGTATATCGGATGCGAAGATACATGTACATGTATTTTCATTCTAACCTGGAGCTATATTAAGCCTGTTCCTCTTGTTATATTTAGAGAGGTGTAGGTGGTTACGTCCACTAACAGTACAAAGCTGTAATTTTTTCGCAAGGATGGAACACCTACTCTATATTAAACAATAAGAAACTAATAGACAAATGTTTATATTTGCTAATGTGTGTAACTCATTTGTATCAGTTATCAATAGTCTTCGGAATGGGGAGTCGTGTACGAGAACACAATTCCCAATGGTGCCTGAATACACTGATTGTGTTTTTCTTCTAGATACACTCTGATTTTGGTCCTCGGTTCATCCGATTCATACACACTAAGGACTTGCGTTCGTCCATAAATGCCTGAAATGCTGAGTGTTAACAGCGGCCATCATAGTCCCTGTTTCATTTAGCATTCAAGATTAAGGATAAACTACATTTCGGTTTGATGTGCCTATGCTTCTGTTATTGGCGTCTTAGACTGAAAACGGAATAAGTTTCCTTAAAAAGAAGTAGAAATCAGATGATACACAGATGATACATACATGCAACGAAGGGAATTTATGGATGTCAACTTCTTTAATATGAGGAACACAATGTTTTGGAGTAATATTTACTCCTTACTCGGGTGAAGGAGAAAGTATACACCCTGAAATGTTGTGTTCCCTAAAATATAGATGTCTTCCTTATGTGTTTCACTTCTAAATGCTTTTTAAAGACATCATACATACATGGTTTTAAAATGATAGGTGAAATACTGTGTTGTTTATCTGTTCCACATAGTAGTAAGTTGTAAGATGAGTTTCTACTCGTTAATCACTTGGTTTGTGCACATATTAAAATGTCGAATGTTTGCAGGTTTTAGAGCTAGATATAGTTGTGATTTGATGAATTCTTTATTCTCTAGACATTCGAGAGTGAATCAGACTGAAGCAGTCATCACAATGAACAATATACTCCGAATATCTACTCCAATAAAAAGCAACCCACAGTTTATTGATAACTTATAGCGAGACACCTCGGATAGTTAATTACATTGTCTACACACAATGCTAAGCAGGTGCACGAAATAACAGGAAGAGTCATGCGTTATATAACATCAGAAACGAGGAGGATGAAATCCACCTTCCAGCAAATTGTATTCATAATGCCTATCAAAGAGATGCTTGTATATTGGTGTAGGGTAGATTCAGCTGTGTACAGAATTGAATAACAGTGTTAACCAATGGCATATAAGTCTTTACATTTAAGAACACATGTAATACTCATGGTCATTTGGACAGAAGTGCAACAGATATGTCGATATCAACAGGTTTGTGCGAGGATCAAGGATTCCCAGCTATTTGCGACACAAGATCATACTTCTTTGTCAGCAACATCTCACATATCCTGTGATACAAGCAAGATTATTTCAAGAAGATATGCGGAAAATCTCAATAAAATCACTTCAGATGACCTTCAGAAGATACAAGGAAACCGGTCGTGTTAGTGACAGGGCCAGGAGCGGCAGACCTTGTATCTTGATGGATTCTGACATCAGCTACATAGACAGCGTTATGCACTCAGATGACGAAACGTCCTCTACCGAGTTACAACGTCTGCTTGAAAGTAAAAAGAGTAAATCTGTTTCAACGGTAACAATTTGTCGTGAACGGAACAGACTCGGCTGGGTTCAGAAACAGACTCGATACTGTCAACTCATTCGCCAACCGAACTGTGTGAAAGAAAACACTTTTGTGAGCAGGTCATGGTGTCGAATGATACATTTGATGATGTCATATTCACAGATGAGTGCACAGTGAAGCTAGAGTCAACGTTAACTAAATGTTTTCGATAGAAAGGGAGTTCACCAAAATTTAAAAGCCGCCCAAAACATCCATATCAAGTACATGTTTGGGCAGGGATTTCATGACGGGCTGCAACAAATATTTGTCTCTTCATGGGGACTATGGACAGTAAGACTTATCAAGATATTCTAAAGGAGTTCTTAGTGCCTTTCATTCAGGACAAGTACCCAGATGGTCATAGACTAATGCAGGACAACGATCCGAAGCATACCAGTAGGAGCACAACACAGTGGCTATCTTTAAATGGGATCAATCACTGGCCAACTCCTTCAGAATCTCCAGATCTCAACCCAATTGAGAAAGCTTGGGCTTATAAACGAACTTATAAATTGCATTTATGCATTCTGGGCAACGATGGATCCAGGAGCATGCTGCAGACTTATCAGTAGTCTCGACACAGTTCTACCAAGGGTGATAGAAGTAGATGGCGATGCGTCCGGGTTTTCAACGCACTCAAATGACCTTGACAAAGACTTTTGTATTTCTTATTTTCCAAAGAGCCAGCTGTAAAAATTTGTCAGGAATTAATAATGAATGTGATTACGAATATGTCTTAACTACTATGATACCAAACAAAGTGTATTTAACGGAGAGAAGTATTGGTTGTTATTAAAAGTTGATCACCACAATGAATATCTTCTGTCTTAATTGTGCCAAGACTAAAGTATTATCCTTTTAACACAAAATACTTGGGACCGTATGATAACACATAACAATGGACGCCAGTTTACAAGAATTGGAATTGACATGGGAATATAGTTCTTTGTTTCACAAAGGCCTATACTAAAGCAGATTGTGAAGCAAGGGTTGCTAACACTGGATCTAAAGGATTCGCCACTTACGTGTAATGGCTACACATATATACTATCATAACTGCAGTGAGTTTGTGATCATTTTGATCGGAAAATATAATCTTAATGATTGTACCTTGTATTATATTCTGACATATGTTGCCATAGTTTCTGTTTGATGTTTTAGGATATGGGTATGTATATGATGCGCAGTGTAGCAATCACACGTTTTAATTTTTATTCCGTGTGAATGGAAAAGAGTTCCAGTTATCAGGGATGAAATATATCAATGTAGTTTCTGCTATTAGGATAAGGAAATAAAAATAACAACTTTAACAGACGGACAAACATTATATTTTCGTATATCATGCTCAAAATAAGAGATATACATAAAAAATAGTATAGCGACACGCATGTGCCAATACAAAACTAAAGGATCAAAATTACTTTAATATACAAAAAGGTCAGTTTTCATGTACACATTAGCCACTAGGTGTAGACCAATAAGCGACAATGACGTTTTACAGCTGTTAATGAAAGTTCATTTTCTTATGGACTGTGCTCGCTACCGGGCGTTGTTTTAGGACGATCATGGTTGATGTTTACACACGATTCCGCCAAAAGACACTATTACATGAAGTGACAAATAAAACTGATTTAAAAGGATTCATTTGAACACGGGAATACTGGGAATAACTGACACACTTAAATACATTTGTATTGACATGTTACTTGAGAGCATTGATGTTTTTGCATTTAAGAGTAACTTTATATACTTAGCATGGAAAAAAGCATATGCAAAATCCCGCCCTCCTTTACAGTGGCCGCCCGGAATATTCAAAGGCTATTGCATATTTATCTCTACATGGGTGGAAATGGACATTGAAAACCAACGTGACGTTACTAATTGCACAATATTGAAAGTTGTTTTCGACTAGACAGGGTTGAACTTAAAGTTGTGAATTATTAACAGCAGATCCATAGCATAAGTAACATTATATTTCATTAATATCATTGGTGGAAGTTCAATTCTTTTCATTCACCGACCCCACACGTATCGGTTTACTTGATTGATAGCGTATACACATTCTTGTTTTTCCTTTGCTTTGCCCTTGGGTGGGAAGGTACTGAATATGACATCAAATATCATGGCCATCTTTGCGATGTAAAATGGCTGGACAGTGATGTTCTGGCCTGACTTTATCATCCTGTAAACATTTCTTTTATACGTTTCTCGCAGGGTGAAAACTGTTCTATAAAGTTCTTTTGTGAGCTGCTTACGGGTCTGTCCACCTCGCTGCCTTGCTTCTTCTACTACGTCCTGTTGAGAATTCCTTGTGTCCAGGGAGGTTTTAATGTTCATATCGCATATTCTGCATGGTAAATCTGCTACCCGCAGATCCCCAAATCTGCTTTCTGTGATGTTGGAGTGCGTTGATGTTAGTGACGTGGCAGATGGCAATACAGTGAATGTCGTTGAGAGGGGAGATGATGACAGTTGTGGTGACGGCAATGCATTGTTTAACGGAGACAGGGCAGGTAATGGAAGGACTGATATTGGTGAAGGCGGCGTGGTGTCAGAAACCATCGACTCTACCAACAGTCGCAATTCCTGGATTTCCTTTTTGAGGATGGCGACTTCAAGCTTCAATGTGACGATATCTGCGTCACTGGAATGGTCAGACAATCCTGTTGTTGAGGTAGATACATGGCGTGGTGATGGTGATGTGCATAGGGTCGTTTCAGGCGATGCAAGTGAGGAAGCTGGAGGAGACGATGCATTTGTCGACTGGCTTGATGCTGAAAAATCAGGAACTATAACGATGTAAAGAAGATTTTGTTAGGTCATGCAACATACATGCACAGGCCACACAGGTTATAACTTAGCTACCAACTTGCTCATACTGTCTAAGAAGTCTGGTTGATAAGACGAGATAAATTCTTTACTAAAATAGTTAGTCATGACAGTAATGAGAAAGGAAACCTAACTTCACCTCATTCGCAGGATTTGTCCTTTTCTTGGTTTGCTCTTGCTCTTGCTGCATATCCTATGAAAGACAAAATTAATATATATTATGAAATGTGTTAGGACCAATCTCATTTAAATCAGATCTTAGTTTTTGCTACCGCTAAACAAAGATCTGAGGACATCCCATTACGGGTCACGTCAGAACGACCTATGATCCAACCAATCAGAGCATCGCTTACCAGATCAATGAAAGTGACAGTCGGAATGTGTTTTCAAATCATGCAACCACGATATATTTAACACGGGGTATTCCAAACGACAGTTACGGGTTTTATGATTATATCCATACAATCTAGGCCATCTATAAGCCATTCCAGAATGTTCTTCTTATCAGTTTTAAAATTCTTATGTCGATTTCTTGTCAGTCATTTCATTTGTCGGTCAAAATTTGCGAAAGGTCGTTCTGACGTGACCTGTAATGGGATGTCCTCAGATCTTCGTTTAGCGATAGTGAGAACTAAGATCTGATTTTAATGAGATTGGTTTTAGGACATCACTTGCAGAGAAACGAAGAAAGTAAAAATTCATATATAACAGTTACTAAGTATAATCGACACAACCATGCAGTAATGTATACGCTACAAACCTCTCGTTTCCTCTTTTTTATACTGGTCGTGCGAGTACCCTGAAATTATAAAGATTCGTAATAAAATGCAACGCGTATCATTAGTGAAAAAACATCGTATGTTAAGTTCGTTTATAAGTTATTACCATTTTTTCATAGCTGTATAGAATTCACTGTAAGTTGTCATTTGTTTCTTTGTTTCATGGGTCATGTCTGTTCAAGTGTAAACACATGTTGACATCAATTTATGACATATATACAGACCCCTTTCTGATGTAATTACAGACTTGCATGTAAAGCTAGATAGTATTGATATTATTGTCAAAGTAAGTCAAATGGATAATTTGGACAGATAATGTCTGATCTATGCAATATGTATTGGCATGAAAATATTGTTGCTAAGTTGAATAATGCCAATGTATAAGATCTACTAGTATTCTATCAGAGCTTCATTGTACCTCCAGATTATTATCCCCCGCCACAAAGTGGAAGGGGGATATAGGAATGGGTGCCGTCTGTCCGTCCTTCCGTCTGTCCGTCACATTTCGTTTCCGGAGCAGATCTTGAAAACCGTACCATATTTGTTCACCAAACTTGGCACATAGATAGGTCTAGTGGTGGACTGGTGCCTTTTGATAGTTTTGGATTTTTCAAAAAATTATGGCAACAACTTTTGATTTAGACTGAAAATGGTGGTAGTCCTCGTTTCCGGAGCAGATCTTGAAAACCGTACCATATTTGTTCACCAAACTTGGCACTTAGATAGGTCTAGTGGTGAACTAGTGCCTTTTGATAGTTTGGAATTTAATTTTTTTTTATTTTTTGAGATTCCATGGCAACGACTTTGTTTAGGCTGAAAATGGCGGTAGTCCTCGTTTCCGGAGCAGATCTTGAAAATCATACCATATTTCTTCATCAAACTTGGCACATAGATAGGTCTAGTGGTGAACTGGTGCCTTTTTGATAGTTTGGGATATTTCAAAAAATTATTTTTCGAGTTTCCATGGCAATGACTTTGATTTAGACTGAAAATGGCGGTAGTCTTCATTTCCGGAGCAGATCTTGAAAACCATACTTATATTTCTTCATCAAACTTCGCACATAGATAGAGCTAGTGGTGAACTGGTGCCTTTTGATAGTTTGGGATTTTGAAAAAAAAATAATTTCGAGATTCCATGGCAACGACTTTGATTTAGACAGAAAATGGCAGTAGTCCTCGTTTCTGGAGCAGATCTTGAAAACCGTACTATATTTCTTCACAAAACTTGGCACATAATGTCTTCTCACAGTATTGAATACATTTCCTTTCTTGTTGGTAAGTTCTGCATTGATTGAGTGTATGTTCCTCCAAAAGTGTCATGGACACAGTTGTTGCATTCACTGACTAACTTCATGCAGAAACACAACTCATTACAAATACAACAGTGTAACTGATCTTAAACCTACTCAACTGTATAAACACTATATATTCTTTTCAACCATACTCTGTACTTCACTTGCTTGATAACGGTGTCAGAACCTTCACCAAAACCATCGCTCCTAATTGTAATAAAGAAGTTGTTCGTCCATATGTCTCATCCTTACTCTTTACAAATTCAGTTACATATTCTATCATAAACTGAAGATGGAAAAACACCAGTAACAACTTGTTTTAGTGCTGCAATTAGGCCATTTACATTGCACACAACCCGACATGTCATATTGGCGGGGGATGTGAGTATTTCATGCTTGTTTCATTTATAACAATTTTTCGTGAGTGACATATTTTCTTATTTAAAATGACATCCTCCATTTGGATCTCTAAATTAAACTACAAATGTATGTTTAACATGTACATTTTCACAGTTATTGCTGCTCATGAGCCTGCTCATATTTATAACGATTGCCATGAAGCAAAGAAAAACTGTTGATTCATGTGGCATAAAATACATTGGTGTATTGTTGGTTGGGGATACATTTTAGAAAAGTACTTGATATGATTTGCTTACCTTTATCTAAACAATAGAGATGGAAATCCCAAACAATAATCTCCATGATTCTAATGAGTGATTCGCCCTGCATTTGTTGTTCTCCAACAGTCAATCGGCTCAAAACTCCTTGAGACAAAACGTTGTTCTGGTCGTAGATTTCAAGGAGCAGCACAGCAAGTTTTTGTTCGACTGTAGGGCTAAACCGCCTGGGTCCAGGTTAACAGTTCCTGCTCTCTCGGTTCCCCCAGATAGTCACTGCACTGACTGTGTCATTGTCCAGCTGACTAAGGAATGACGAAACTTCATCTTCCATATTGCCTGTAATTGACATATCATATGATAGTGATCCATCCAATTGTCTGGTATGTCGCAAATGCCAAAATAATAGTCTCTGAAGTATAAATAGTTTAGGGTTTTCACATATCTACAGGTTTGTCGTGGTCATTACATAACATAACTGATCACCTGTAAGGCTTTCTTTTACACATCATTGATTTTATACACCCATGAAACACACCGCCAGACGTACTGTGGTACTGATGGCAAACCTTTGAAATACATGTAACATGATTCCTATTGTATTCTGTAGCACAGAATATTAGATTGTTAGCTCCGGATCTGACGTAATGTAGCATATGCATGTTATATCTCTCATGTAATATATATTCATAACAATCTGGGAATGTGAGCCATATCATCATAAGTACATACTGCATCGACTGTCATGTTGATATTATGGCATTCAAAATGTATATGGTTAAATTATCCTATTTTTTACGGTCTGGTTTTCTGTTTCCTGCAGCTATACCAAACGTTACCACTGTGTAATGTATGTATATTGTCTAATAAACATGCGAATAAACATTTATAAAACAGAAAAGTACCTATGGAAATCCAAGTGCTCCATTTCTTGGGGAAGTTGTCGAAATTGACGTTGACTTTCCTCCAAACAAGGTATACATCCACTACACACCCGGATCTCCACTTGCCGGATTCGGTGTCAAGAGCCTGAACACGAGTGCCAACACGTACGCTAGTTGTCTCCTCCATGGTTTGGGACGTTAAGCTATATTCGTTGAAACGTTATTTATCGTCTTTTGACTCAAAGCCGTTGGACAATAAGCCGTTACCAATCAGTGCCAATGACCACTTCTATTGTTTTAAGTGTAGGGCAACAAAAGTTTACGACAGACAGGGAGAAAACTATGTTGTTTCAGCTTGAGAATACAATACACACCAGTAAGATGACACGTTTGGCATCCTTTCGCAACGGCGTTGCCATGTCAAAGCCCCTCTACTGATTTCATAAAGGGATTGAATGTTTTTTCTAGAAATTTGGATGATAAGAGTGAGAAGCCATCAAAGAGATGACATCGTGTCTGCTTAGAATATAGAATAATGACTTCAAACACATAACACTATGCAGTCCTTTTTGTCATCTTGTTCTTAACATTCCTTCACTGCAATAGGATTTCTACACAGTATTTAATTAATTTGAAGTTACTTTGAATTCGAGACCAGAGGAAATGCCTGAACGTGTTATGTATCGATACCGGTTGTTTATAAATGTTCACTAAAGGAGGGAGGGCTACAATTGAAACATGCTCATGTCGTTGTGTTTAGTTATGCGTGTGCGCCTGCACTAATGAAGTAAGTGAATGTTAAGAAGTTAAGAAGACAAGATCACGTGTACCTGCATCATGCATCACAGAAAACAATGTAGGTATGGTTTGACACTGTTCCGTAACGTTTTTTAAAACGGATAGGAAAAAACAAGCCAGTGCTGGCTTCTGTTGCTGCATCTCTGAAGATCTGAATAATAAGGTTATCATACTCATTGCCACGTATTAGTTCTAAAATTAGCACCTTTACAACATGGGAGTGTTGGCTCATTGTTTATGTACCACACCATATATTAATGGAGTGTAGGACATTTCCTCCACACTGACAATTCCCTACTCGGACATATGTACTGACATTTCCTAACATTGAATATACATGTATTAATAATTTATATTACAGTTTTATTTACAGTTTGATAAACTATTATAATATGAACATTACAGGTCATCATCACATGTCAAGTTCACTGAATGTCACCAGCTAGAGGTCACATAGGAAATACATTTTACTCTTTGTCCTAGCTTCATTTAAAAAAGAGAGGAAACAATTCATTCATGAATATTCTTATATTAAACGTATGAAACAACTCATTCATGAATATGCTTATATTAAACGTAGGAAACAACTCATTCATGAATATTCTTATATTAAACGTAACATGTTTAAAATGAATCTATTTTATAATAGTCCCAAGATTAGGAACATTGAGAAAATTATCTATGTTGTGTAAAATAATCATGATAAAGGTCAAAACCCGGAAAGACTATTTCATAAATGTTTGTACAATTTTTTAGCTGTCGTTTTACCTCATTCGACTGGTCGGAAACTAGTCTCAGATAAACACAGATTCTAACCAAGTCTGATCTTCTTTGACAAAGAATGCATGAACTGGTTGAGTCACCTCCTTCCATCAGGTTGAAAGGATTACCCACAGAGAAAGAAAGGATTAGAAATCTACATGCTATTATGTATTCACTACCAACTTCCTCTAATAATAAACTGATACCCTTGGTATCCCCAAATGAGATCATGTATACTTTGTCACAGCCGGTAATTGTTAAGATCACAAATCCTGTCTACAGTCAGGCAGTCTATATATGTTTCCAATATCCTGTTATAATTAGGGGTGAATGATAGAAAACACATTCTGACAGTTATCCTGAGACGCCTCCAAAAGTCCACTTTATAATTCTTACAAAAAGTAATATTCCAAAATAATAACATTTAATGGCTTATCCACTTATACCAATAAGCTCATCGCGTCAAGTGTTACGGAGTGGTGATGAGCAATCGTATATGCAAAAGTTGCAAAGATTAAACTGAGGATAAAATGCAAGCTGCAATCTTCACTCGGATATTAGATATTCATTATGGAGATGCGTAACCGAAGTTTATTGTACTCTCACCTACTGACCAGTTGAACATCTTAATGCATTCTGATGCCATTGTAAAATCACTGGCTGCCTGTCTTTCTTTGATGTTTAGATGGAGAAAATCTATTGTGTTAGAACAATCTCTGTTTACTGATAAAAATGTGTAATTACTATGATATATTTACCGTATTTTACACATGTAATTGGATGCACGTAATGAGTACGGATACATGGTTTAAACATATTTTTATTTCAACTGAAATTTGGGATCGGTAAACAAGACAGCGCTTATTTGAATATCTCTTCCTACAAAGAAATCAGGTATAGTTAAGGTGTATACATACACAATATTTACAGAAAAAATACCTTGGTGGTCAGTTATCAAGAGTGACCAGTTGTATCCGTTTTTTTATTGTCAGAATGATGGGGTTATATGTGATATTGACTACTACATAATGTACACAAGATACATACATATTATATGCTAGGGTTTGGTGTTTTATTTAAGTTTAAATCTACCAAAATTTATCATGAAAGTATGGACAGACAGGAGAATTTCTTGATTTGCTTCAGATGAGTACGGTATTAATATCATTTCCTTTCATGTAATACGATAAATTGCTTCTAATTTGATTATAATTGCAACAAACAAAGAAGTAATGTAACGGGTCTTCATAATGGTGACCACAGGATACATGAAGATGGATATAGTTATAGTGGGATGTGTGGTGAGAGGGGTGTGTATGTATGTAAGCATGAGTACGAGGGATACATAAAGGCAGATATAGTTATAGTGCGATGTATGGTGAGAGGGGTGTGTATGTATGTAAGCATGAGTATGAGGGATACATGAAGGTGGATATAGTTACAGTGGGATGTATGGTGAGAGGATGTGTATGTATGTAAGAATGAGTATGAGGGATACATGAAGGTGGATATAGTTATAGTGGGATGTATGATGAGAGGGGTGTGTATGTATGTAAGCATGAGTACGAGGGATACATGAAGATGGATATAGTCATAGCGGGATGTATGGTGAGAGGGGTGTGTATGTATGTAAGCATGAGTACGAGGGATACATGAAGGCAGATATAGTTATAGTGGGATGTATGGTGAGAGGGGTGTGTATGTATGTAAGCATGAGTATGAGGGATACATGAAGGTGGATATAGTTATAGTGGGATGTATGATGAGAGGGGTGTGTATGTATGTAAGCATGAGTACGAGGGATACATGAAGATGGATATAGTCATAGCGGGATGTATGGTGAGAGGGGTGTGTATGTATGTAAACATGAGTACAAGGGATAAATGAGGGCGGATATAGTTATGGTGGCATTTATGGTGAGACGGGTGTGTATGTATGTAAGCATGAGTACGAGGGATTCATGAAGGTGGATATAGTTATAGTGGGATGTATGGTGAGAGGGGTGTGTATGTATGTAAGCATGAGTGAGAGGGATACATGAAGGTGGATATAGTTATAGGGGGATGTATGGTGAGAGGGGTGTGTATGTATGTAAGCATGAGTACGAGGGATAAATGAGGGCGGATATAGTTATAGTGGGATGTATGGTGAGAGGGGTGTGTATGTATGTAAGCATGAGTACGAGGGATACATGAAGGTGGATATAGTCATAGTAGGATGTATGGTGAGAGGGGTGTGTATGTATGTAAGCATGAGTACGAGGGATACATGAAGATGGATATAGTTATAGTGGGATGTATGGTGAGAGGGGTGTGTATGTATGTAAGCATGAGTACGAGGGATACATGAAGATGGATATAGTTATAGTGGGATGTATGGTGAGAGGGGTGTGTATGTATGTAAGCATGAGTACGAGGGATACATGAAGGTGTATATAGTCAAAGTGGGATGTATGGTGAGAGGGGCGTGTATGTATGAACGCATGAGTACGAGGGATACATGAAGATGGATATAGTTATAGTGGGATGTATGGTGAGAGGGGTGTGTATGTATGTAAGCATGAGTACGAGTGATACATGAAGATGGATATAGTTATAGTGGGATGTATGGTGAGAGGGGTGTGTATGTATGAGAGCATGAGTACGAGGGATACATGAAGGTGTATATAGTCATAGTGGGATGTATGGTGAGAGGGGTGTGTATGTATGAGAGCATGAGTACGAGGGATACATGAAGGTGGATATAGTTATAGTGGGATGTATGGTGAGAGGGGTGTGTATGTATGTAAGCATGAGTACGAGGGATACATGAAGGTGGATATAGTTATAGTGGTATGTATGGTGAGAGGGGTGTGTATGTATGTAAGCATGAGTACGAGGGATACATGAAGATGGATATAGTTATAGTGGGATGTATGGTGAGAGGGGTGTGTATGTATGTAAGCATGTGTACGAGTGATACATGAAGATGGATATAGTTATAGTGGGATGTATGGTGAGAGGGGTGTGTATGTATGAGAGCATGAGTACGAGGGATACATGAAGGTGTATATAGTCATAGTGGGATGTATGGTGAGAGGGGTGTGTATGTATGAGAGCATGAGTACGAGGGATACATGAAGATGGATATAGTTATAGTGGGATGTATGATGAGAGGGGTGTGTATGTATGTAAGCATGAGTACGAGGGATACATGAAGGTGGATATAGTTATAGTGGTATGTATGGTGAGAGGGGTGTGTATGTATGTAAGCATGAGTACGAGTGATACATGAAGATGGATATAGTTATAGTGGGATGTATGGTGAGAGGGGTGTGTATGTATGAGAGCATGAGTACGAGGGATATATGAAGGTGGATATAGTCATAGTGGGATGTATGGTGAGAGGGGTGTGTATGTATGAGAGCATGAGTACGAGGGATACATGAAGGTGGATATAGTTTTAGTAAGATGTATGATGAGAGGGGTGTGTATGTATGTAAGCATGAGTACGAGGGATACATGAAGATGGATATAGTCATAGCGGGATGTATGGTGAGAGGGGTGTGTATGTATGTAAGCATGAGTACGAGGGATACATGAAGGCAGATATAGTTATAGTGGGATGTATGGTGAGAGGGGTGTGTATGTATGTAAGCATGAGTATGAGGGATACATGAAGGTGGATATAGTTATAGTGGGATGTATGATGAGAGGGGTGTGTATGTATGTAAGCATGAGTACGAGGGATACATGAAGATGGATATAGTCATAGCGGGATGTATGGTGAGAGGGGTGTGTATGTATGTAAACATGAGTACAAGGGATAAATGAGGGCGGATATAGTTATGGTGGCATTTATGGTGAGACGGGTGTGTATGTATGTAAGCATGAGTACGAGGGATTCATGAAGGTGGATATAGTTATAGTGGTATGTATGGTGAGAGGGGTGTGTATGTATGTAAGCATGAGTACGAGGGATACATGAAGATGGATATAGTTATAGTGGGATGTATGGTGAGAGGGGTGTGTATGTATGTAAGCATGAGTACGAGGGATACATGAAGATGGATATAGTTATAGTGGGATGTATGGTGAGAGGGGTGTGTATGTATGTAAGCATGAGTACGAGGGATACATGAAGATGGATATAGTTATAGTGGGATGTATGGTGAGAGGGGTGTGTATGTATGTAAGCATGAGTACGAGGGATACATGAAGGTGGATATAGTTATAGTGGGATGTATGGTGAGAGGGGCGTGTATGTATGTAAGCATGAGTACGAGGGATACATGAAGATGGATATAGTTATAGTGGGATGTATGGTGAGAGGGGTGTGTATGTATGTAAGCATGAGTACGAGGGATACATGAAGGTGTATATAGTCATAGTGGGATGTATGGTGAGAGGGGCGTGTATGTATGAACGCATGAGTACGAGGGATACATGAAGATGGATATAGTTATAGTGGGATGTATGGTGAGAGGGGTGTGTATGTATGTAAGCATGAGTACGAGTGATACACGAAGATGGATATAGTTATAGTGGGATGTATGGTGAGAGGGGTGTGTATGTATGAGAGCATGAGTACGAGGGATACATGAAGGTGTATATAGTCATAGTGGGATGTATGGTGAGAGGGGTGTGTATGTATGAGAGCATGAGTACGAGGGATACATGAAGGTGTATATAGTCATAGTGGGATGTATGGTGAGAGGGGTGTGTATGTATGAGAGCATGAGTACGAGGGATACATGAAGGTGTATATAGTTATAGTGGGATGTATGGTGAGAGGGGTGTGTATGTATGTAAGCATGAGTACGAGTGATACATGAAGATGGATATAGTTATAGTGGTATGTATGGTGAGAGGGGTGTGTATGTATGTAAGCATGAGTACGAGTGATACATGAAGATGGATATAGTTATAGTGGGATGTATGGTGAGAGGGGTGTGTATGTATGTAAGCATGAGTA